CCTTCTGCAGGAAGCAGAAGCCTCCCTTTTTAAAAGACCCCAGGTCAAGACCGGGCAGACATTTTCCCTGCCCAGAAGGGAATCTGCCCCATGTGTTCCTTTGCTAATAAACCCTATTTTGATGGAGTTTTAGCTGTGCCTTGGTGCCTCATCATCCATTCGCTCATTCTCCGCCAACTTTTTACCTATCACTTCCTCCTCCCACCTTCTTGTCGCTTCATTTTTTAAATTTGTAACCCACTGAGCCCCATTAGTGCTGTCTACATACACATGGGTGTGGGGCCATCCAACCAGTCAGTGGCCACAGGCCCTGGAAGAAAAAATGACTCCCCCTCCCCCAGCAGCCATCAATAATTCCTCACACAGGGGTGGAGTCTCACAAGTCCTCCCTCCCCCCACTGGAATGTTGACTGGCTTGATCTTGTGTAGGTAACAGCAGCTGCTGTGAGTTCATAAGGGCAGAGGCGTTCCTCACCAGCTTCTGCCCTTGCATCCCATGCCCTCTTCCTCCGTGAACCCCGGGGTTTCATATAGATGCCCCTGTCACTTATTTTACGCACTCTGTCCATTTATGAGTTTCTGCATTAACTGCTGCCCATCGCAAAAGAAGCTCCTCTAACCAAGGCCGAGAGCTCACAGTCAGGGAGTGAACTGCCTGCTGTGCTGGCTTGAAAGGTGAGGCTCTCGGATCCTCAGACTCTAGAAGGCTCCACCTGGCACTCACCTAAAGGGGCTCTCTAAAAATTTAATTATGTGTACGTGTGTGTGTCTGTGTGTGGGTATGTGCACATGTGTGCAGGTACCCCAGGAAGGGCGAGACATGGATCCCTCTGGAGCTGCAGTTTCATGTAGTTGTGAGCTGCCTAATGCAGGTGCTGGGGACTGAACTCAGGTCCTCTGCAAGAGCACCAAGTGCTTTTAACCATTTAGCCATCTCTTCAGCCCCCACATGCGGACTTTTAAGTGAGTGGCATATGGCTCACTCTGGGAACAGGATAAGTACTTTGAGCCTTGCCCAGCCAGTCAGCTGTGCATCTTTGACTTGCTCAGCCCTCTTTCAGCAGTTCAACCTCCTCCTCCTCCTCTTCCTCTTCCTCCTCTTCCTCCTTTACCTCCTCCTCCATTTTTTAAAAGACATGGTCTCATGTAATCCAATCCAGGCTGGCCTTTAATAGACAACATGGACTTCCAGATAGGTGGCTGGGGAAGCCTTCAAAAGGGAGGCTGGGGGTGGTGGTGGTCCTGAATTGAATGATTTGAAGAAAGCTGGACATTGAGGAGAGGTCATTTCAGGGAGAGGTGGTTACCATTAGTCTCCAGGCTAAAGAGTGATTAGGAGAGTTGGGTTTGAGGTCAATGAAGGAGCATGAGGGCTCCCTGAGTCCTTCTGATGGACACCAGGAGGAAGACTCACTAGGAGGAAGGTCCCTCTGCAGCAGCATCACCCTGAAGGACATCTGGGTACCATAAAAGTCGAGAGAGCAAAGTCATGGTCCCAAAGCCAAACTGAACTTTAAGAAGGGGCCTTGGAGCCAGGGCACAGTGGCACACACTTTTAGTCCCAGCATTCTACTGGTTGTGGCAGAAGGATCTGGATAGTGAGAACCTTGTCTCAAACTAACCCACCCCCAGCAAACAAGAGGGGGCCTCTGAGTTCTGGAGGTTCAGCTGAAGCATGCCTTCTGGAGCCTTCTGCTGAAACTTTCAGAAACACTCACTGACATTCTTAGTAGCTGCAGACGTTAGCATTCTGGCAAACCATTTACAGAGGAAAGGCAGAGCTGGAGAGTCTCTGGATTAGAGGAGGAAGGGACAATCAAGGCCAAAAAAGGGAGTGCAGAGAAATGGGGGTGTAAAGAGACATAGCATAATCTATCCTGGGGAGCGCTTTCCACAGCTTAGCTGGTTGCAGGTTTGTTTTTGTTGTTGCTAAAAAAAAAAAAAAAAAGATTTATTTTTATTTTATGTGTATGGGTGTTTGTATGTGTACCGTGTGTGCTCGGTGCCTGTGGAAGCCAGAAGAGGGCATTGGTTCCCCTGAAACTGGAGTTACAGATGGTTGTTAGCCACTGTGTGGGTGCCGGGAACCAAACCCCAGTCCTCTGCAAGAGCAGCCAGTGCTGTTAACTGCTGAGCCATCTCTTCAGCCCCCAAAGGGTGATTTTTTTGTGTTTGTTTTGAGAAAGTGTGTCACTATGTAGCCCTGGTTGGCCTGGAACTCACTATGTAGACCAGAGACTCACAGAGATCTGCCTGCCTCTGCTTCCCCAGTGCTGGGATTAAAGGTATGTGCCACCATGTCTGGCCCGTTTGCTTGTTTTAAAATAGGGCCTCGCTATGTAGCCCAGGCTGACCTGGAACTTACTACATAGTCCAGGCTAACCTTAAACTTGTAACAATCCCACTCCCTTGGCCTCCCAGCTGCTGGATTTACGGCCTTGCACCAACACATCCGGCTCTCACTGCCAGTTCTGAGTCCTGCTGAGTCTATTCTCTTAATAAACCTGACACACACTCCTGCCACTCTGTGCCACTCTTTTCCATATCCTCACCCTAACAAAGGCGCTAGAAGCAACTGCAGCTGATGGCTGATAATTGAGCTCAAAACAAGGCCTGAGGTGTGGGCTTGCAGGGAACACTGTTTCAAAATAGAAGTCCCCTACCTGCTCGCCTTAAATCCTCTTCGTGGAAGATACAAATAGAAATATTTCTCTTTACTAAGCACAGAAGAGCCATACATGACTGTAACGGCCATACATTTACTTGTGAAATAATTAAAAACCTTCCCAGTGTTAGCGACATCTAGTACATTAACTTCAGAGATCATGATTTTTTTTTTTTTTTTTTTTTGATATAGGGTCTCCCTGTAGCTGTAGCTGTCCTGGAACTCGCTATGTAAACCAGGCTGGCCTTGATCTCACAGAGATCCGCCTGCCTCTGACTCTGAGGTTAAAGGTGGGCACCACCAGTATGAGTTTTCTTTTTAATACACTTTTCTTTTTTTCAGAGCGAAACTGAGAGGAAGTTACAGTGACGTCCCCTATCTCCCCGCCGCTCAGCTCCTGGCACTGTCTCACCCATCATGGACACCTTGCAGCATGGGGCCATCACTGGCCCCTGGAGGCCACAGGTGACGTTAGGGGTTGCTCTTGGTGCCTTCTATGACTTTGGGCCACTGTATCAGAGCAGTTTCACTGACCTCAAATCCCTCTTCTCTCCATCTCTCTTCCCTCCCTTCTCTGCAGCACTGCTCCAAAACAGACTCTCGAGCTACGAGCTGGGAAGGATAACACTGTAGAGATGGCCTGGGTTCCTCAGGAAGACACATTCCAGGATAGGCTGTGCTGGCTATAAAATGCTGAATGCCAAGTGTGATAAAGGCAACGAACACAGGACACACGAAGACAGCAACTGCCTGTCCCTCAGCCTCACTGGGGCATGAGTCATGCTGCGAATGGCCTGCTGTTCTCTATGTGTAGTGTTGTCTTCTGGCAGATAGGCCCAAAGCATCCTATTCCTATTACACCTTTCTGAAGCTTAGCAGAGTTAAGTACCCAGAAGGTGTAGAAGAAAGATTTCTCATTAGGGCAGGAGAGATCTGTTGCTTAGGAGCACCCTGGGTCATTGTCACATACTCCTCTCCTATTAGCATCTGATCCCCAAAAGCTCAGCTCAAAGCCTTTTTGTCCTGTAAACAGGCCTGGCCATTTACCAGCCCTAAAAGTTTTCCTCCACTGACTGATGGCAGAGTAGTCTCCTGGTTATCAGTTCCAGATCCCTGGATGGCCCTGGATTCCCAGGCAGCTGTGTGCATGCAGAGCTGGCCCTCTTGCAGCGTGTTTATTTGGAAAAAGAACAGGAACAAGCAAGCACAATGATGACCTTTTGCTAAGTGGGCATGAAGTTGGAAAATAAAATTGCATTTGAGTATTTAATGGGGCTAGGAGCAGAGTGAGATAGTCACAGGGAGAGAGATTGCACTGTCATTGTGGAAATCACACAGCCATATGTGAATGGAAACTTCATCCAACAGTCTGGAAAACATGGTTTGAGGTCCCAGCTGTGCTCTGCTGGGGGAGGGGGGCTGAGAAGCAGCAGCCAGGACCACACACACAGATGCACACACACACACACACACACACACACACACACACACACATACTCCCTCACATGTCTCCCCCCAATACTTGCTCATCATTTGTTTAAATATGATTTAAACAGCTTTCAGGTTATGCTGCTCAATGGTTCACACAGATGCATGGGCATGGCACACTCACAGCCTTCCTCCTGACTCTACACACCTCATAAACCTATATATGATATACCTTCAGGTATATATATCACAGACTCTCCCAACAAAACCATGTAAAGGTCAGGTACACACCGCTGCACACTAGCATGCACTCTTTCATTCTTTTCACACTTACCAGGTATAAGCCAACATTCACTGGATGCCTCTCCCATGCCTCCCAACACATAGCACACACAAGCCCACTTGCCATTCACCTAGCTGTCCTTCTGACTATCTAACGAACATGCTTCAAACTGTCACAGAACTTAGCCTCCACCAGTTACTAAATGTGGTGTTCCTCTTACCTGGACCACAACCACTTGTATGGAAACATGGTCTGGGAGTCGGATAGGTGCCCGGAAATACTGAGAGAGAGCAACCAGCAGGTGGAGGATGGCCACCAGGCTCTTGGCGTGAACAGCTGAAATGCAAGATTTGAAAATGAGACCGCCTTTTCCTAGCTTCTAGGCAAGATAAGCAGCTACTGAGAATACTGCCGTATCCCTGCCCCCTGCTCCCTTGTCATGCCCTAAGTGTCAGGGGGATACCTTGGTCAGAACATGCTTCACCTGGGTCCCCTCAGTTCATGGACAGGTCTTATGATAGGTGGACTGCCAATGTGGTGTCTCTACTCTCACTCCAGGCTCCCAGTCTCAGTAGGACTGTCTGGAGTGGAGCTCACATCAGCTCTCCCTGCCCGGGTGCCTGTGAGCACCCTTTGAATAACTCTGAGTGACTCTGCCCTACATCTACTCTCTACCTGACTATGATGCTGGATTGGCACCTCTCCCCCTGCCCAAGACAGTATACAAGCAGACCTTTAAAGGGACAATACCATATCAGGAGCCCTGGGTCCCTTCCTCTGTTCAGGGCCAAGCGCCCTACAGGAAGGCACAAGAGTCACCCAGAGAGCCTTACATGCAAGTGTAGTTCATGTCCCTGAGACTTCCACAGCTGCAAGCCCTGTGCCAATGTTAAGCCATTTACGCTGCTGAAGGTTATAGATTTCTCACTAGATGGGGGATAGACGGAGATTTACAAGGCTCACAGGGTCAGGCAGACTAGAGCTGCACGGAATGTGCCTTTGTCACCTGGCTACCTATTTACTGGTTAACTTGGCGTAGAGGAGGGCAGGCCAGTCTGGCCTCTAGCATTAATTTGTTCATCTCCACAAATGAGGATGACAGTGCCCATGTGGACATACACGTTATAAAGATCTCCAAAGATAACTAAGGCAGAGCACCTGGAATACAGCAGGCACCCAGGAATGACTGGTATTCTTTTTTATTATAACATAGGTGAAAGTGCCTGGCACCAGGGCAAGCAGAGCACGCCAGTTCTCTTCCTTCTGTCAGTGGCTCATAAAAGGGTAGATCTGCCAGGCTCTTTACCTGCCTGCGTGGTCTTTCATTACAGGGGCAAATAAGGGGAGAATCCAGAGTGCCACTTGTGTGTGTCGCCTGCTTAGGGCTCAGGTCCAGGGTATCATTCACATTCCTGGGATCAAGGAATCTGTTTTAGAAGCCTTGAGAAATCACCAAGAAAGGAAATGATCCAGACATTGGTTTGGCATCCTTAGCAGTGTCCGTTATCACAGCTGTTCCAAAGGCAGCATCCACTGATGACCAGCTCAGCAGGACAGCAGCAGTCCGGGTTTTCCAGAAGATTCAGTCTGGGCACTGTCAATGGACTCTAACCTACGGTTATATCTGGGGACTGAGCCACTGACAGGGCATGGTCACTGAGTGACAGAGTCAAATCAAGGTTTACTCTTCTGGTCAGGATCCTGGATCCTGACCTGGCACTGGCTGCTCCTCCTCCCCCATTTTTTTGAGACAGGTTTCCCTAGTAGCCCCAGTTGGCATAGAACTCACCATGTAGACCAAGTTGGTCTCAGTCTCACAGAGATCCACCTGCCTCTGGGATTAAAGGTGTATGCCACTATGAGACTGGTTCCCTCTCTCTTTAATGACACATGTTGATGTTGGAAAAGTTCAGGTCAAACAAGCTTTTATCACTGGTGACAATGTATGTTATCTTGACTATCTTGGTACGTGACACAGTGATACTGTCAGCTTTGGACAAATGTCAGACCCTCTCAGTAACTGCTCTGTCCTCCTGGGAATGTTTTTCAAAAGAAATACTCCCCCACAGCCACACACAGAGTGTGGACAAGGATGTCGACTGCTGTGTAATACATTATCACCAGCAGCACAGTCCTGGAAAACGCTCACACCTAGGAGCAGGAGGCTAGCTTGGCTAAGTGGCTTTCAAGCTTGTATTTGTTGTTGTGAGATAAGGTCTTGCTATGTCATGCCACCAGCCTGGTTTGAACTTGTGTAGCCAAGCCTGGTTTGAACTTGTGGTCCTACTCCTTTAGGCTCCTGAAGTTGTTTTTTTAAAACTCATTTATTTTAATTTTTCTTATTGATTGTGATTGTAGGGGGGCACACATGTGCCACAGTGTGCATGTGGAAGTAAGGAGACAACTTGAGGGAATTAGAGCTCTCCCTCTATCGTGGGTGGGTTCCTGAGAGAACCCAGGTCATCAAGTTTGGTGGAAAGTGTTTTTACTTGCTGAGCCATCTCACTGGCCCCTGAAGGTTTTATCTATCTATCCATCCACCCATCATCCGTCCATCCATCTATCCATCCATCCATCCATCATCCATCCATCCATCCATCATCCATCCATCCATCATCCATCCATCATCCATCCATCATCCATCCATCCATCCATCCATCATCCATCCATCCATCCATCCATCCATCCATCCATCCATCCATCCATCCATCCCTGCAATAACCATAAGCTTTCCAAAATATGGTATAGCCACATAATGGGATGTTTTCCATGCACTGAAAATCACGGTTAAGACAATGTAACTTTATTAACAAAGTTAAGTTGAAATTCCACAGAAACAAGAATATGATTTATCAATATATATGTATAAATACATATGCATGTATGTGTGGGTGTATATACACACATGCACATATATAAACATGTACTTGTGGCCAACACTTGGATAGGAATATAAAAAATAGTAATGTGAGAGTGGACAGTTTATATTTGTTTCTATTTCAAGATTTTCTTCAGAATAAAGAAATTAGAAACAACTGTAGTAAGTGCGTGTGTTGGGGGGGAACCTTCCTTCCTGCTGTCTTTCCATGTGTCTCTGGGAATTTTCTTCTGGCACTACAGCACGTGACCCTCTGTGCCTACACTCCTATAAGCATGGGAACATGCAGAGAAGCCAGGCCACAGCTTCACTGCGGAATCCAGGAACCACAGCACTCAGGAGATTTCAAAGGAGCAGCTGAGTCCGAAATTATTCTCATACACATTCTGGTGTGTCTCTGGGAATTTTCTTCTGGCACTACAGCACGTGACCCTCTGTGCCTGCACTCCTATAAGCATGGGAACATGCAGAGAAGCCAGGCCGCAGCTTCACTGCGGAATCCAGGAACCACGGCACCAATGGTGCCGCCTCAGGAGATTTCAAAGGAGCAGCTGAGTCCGAAATTATTCTCACACACATTCTGAGGTGGAAGTATAAATCAGTGCAAGTTTTCTAGAGGCAGCTGGATAACACATACTGACTTCAAAAACATCTGTATCCTTAGGTCCTAAAATACCATTCCTATGTCTTCATTCTAAAAGAATAATTAATTATAGTTGTCAGTGAAGAGAATTTACCAGGCTGCGTGGATGCTAGTGAAAAAATGGAAAATCTGAAAATCACATTAGGGGCCGGAGAGACGGCTCAGCAGTTAAGAGCACTGGCTGCTCTTGCAGAGGACCTGGGTTCAGTTCCCAGCACCCACATGGCAGCTAACAACTGTCTGTAACTCCAGTTCCAGGGGATCCAACACCCTCTCCTGACCTCCAAGGGCACTGTATGACATACGTGCAGACAATATACACATACACATAGATTAAAAATATTTTTAAAAATCACATTAAATTAGGATGCATCTGTGTAACTGTCATAGAATATTAAATGACATACAGAATATTTAATGATTTGTAAAGACATACGTTCCAAAGAATACATAGGTTTATCTCATTAAAAAAATCTTTAAATTTTATTATTGTTATTGTGTGTGTGCACACGTGCACACGTGGGGTATGTGTGTGTCATGGCTCATGTGTAGAGGTCAGAGGACAAGTTTTGGGAATTGGTTTTCTCTTTCCATCATGGGTTCTGGGGATCAAACTCAGGTCATCAGGCTTATATGGCAAATGCTTTTACCTGCTGAAGCAGCTTGCCAGTCCTGATGTCATTTTTGTGAAAAAAAAAAAGTGTACACATATATATGTGTACATACCATACATATGTAGACAGACAGACAGACACACACACACATACACATACACACACACACACACACACACACACACAGTATAGTCCTCCCTTAACGTGGTTTTGTTTTCTATGGTTTCAGTTACCCAATCAACTGTCACCCAAGAATATCAGTGGGAAATTCCTGAAACAAACAAACTCACACACTTTTACTTTGCACACCATTCTGGGTTGAGCTGTGTTACTCTGTTCTGCTCAAGGTGTAAACTATCCTCCTGCCCAGCATACCCACGCTGCGGGTGCCACTCGCCTGCCAGTCACCCAGTCGCCATTAAACCATCTCAGTGCCACAGTGACTGTGCTATTTTAATGAATGATGGCCCAGGAACACAAGAGTAGTGGGGCTGGCAAAGCAGATATGCTGATGATGAGGCACTAAGGGCCGCCTTTAGGTGAAAAGGGAGAGGACTCAAAGAACAAAAAACAAAATCGTGTAAAGAGATTGCTAAGGTCAGAACAAATATTGTATGAAATTGTGAAGAGAAAAGAAGGAAAGAAAATCTACGCTAGCTTTGTTGTTACACCTCAAGGTACAAGAATTATGGTCATGGGATATGACAGAGGTGTTGTTAGGACGGAAAGGCATCAACGGTGCAAAATCAGATGCATAAACCAACAGGACGGACTAGAATACTAAGAAGTAAACCCATATGGCTCAGCCCCCTGATTTTGAAGCGTGTCCAAACACACATTGGAGAAAAGACAGTCAACGAAGTGAATGTTACTGGGAAAACTGATCCCCATGCACAGAACGAAGTAAATCGGTATCTCTCACCCTGAGCAAAAATCAAGTCAAAATGGATCAAAGACCTTAATGTAAGATTGAAACTTTGAAATTCTAGAGAAAACGTAAGTAAAACACTTCCAAATACAGGTATGGAAAAGAACTTTCTACAAAGGGTCCAATAGCTCCAAAATAATCCCACAAACTGACAAATGGTATTGCATGAAATTAAAAAGCTCCTGCAGACAAAAGAAAGTATTGCCAGAGTGAGGAGACAGCACCCAGAATGGGAGAAAGTGACTGCCAGCTACACAGGTAGATCCATAAACG